AGAAGTTGCAGATGTAGGTAAGCTCTATATGCATAAACTGCTGCATATAAGCATGAGCCTTGTTAGGTATATTCCCTGGTGATCACTTGAGAGTGAACTGGAACAGGTATCTCCTTGTGGAGTCCATGAGGTTTGTCTTTGGAAACAGAGCTGAAGGAACACCAGGTGGGCACACTGGGCTGGTGTTCGCTAAAGGAGAAACCTGTGCTCTTGTGTCTACTGCCTTTGACCTGGCACACTGTGGGAAAGCAAAAGGAGCTACCTCGGTGAGGAAGCAGGACTCGCGGCGCTCCGCTCGGCAGCACTGCTCCCGCATGGCAGCGAACGCCGCCGTGACGGAGGCGAGCTGCTCGGCCGTGATGGAGGGCTTGTATTTGATGAGGTTGATGAGCATCCTGCAACGAAGCAAAGGAAAGCAAGCCTGGTGAGGCAGGGAAGGAAGCAGGGACACACGGAAGCACTTCCTGAACCCCATCCTGCAAAATCAGCCGTTTGTTCTCTCCTTTCTCCCATCTTACCTTTCTTAAACACCACCCCCAGACAAGCTGACAGCATGGAGCTCATCTGTGCTCCACTGAATTAAAAGACAACATTCATTTTTGCAATTCCTCCACCAGGAATGGTTTTACATTTGGTTTAGGTGTGCCTCTTGGACGGGTTCAGTGTTGCAAGGGTTCACCATAGCCCAAGTTAATTGTCAAGGAGTCAATCGCTTGCAGTGGCAGAGAGAGGGTGGGTTGGTTTCCAGAGAGAAAGTTCTCTCTGACAAAGGCAGGCCAAGCACCCAGAGCTCCTCTGGAACAGAGCTGGTCACTGAGATGAGATCAATACATGGGCTCTCCCATTCTGGCAAACAATCGTTATTCAAGCCATAATGCTAATGCAATATATGAAGCAGTAGCTTCCTGAATTTTCTGGAATCTGTTTGGTGATGTCTTGTGTGGTTTCGGTGAGGCCTGGGCTGGGGGTGAGCGTGTTTCTCATCTCGGTGTTTTAAGCTCTGTTGTTACAGCATTGCCCCGAGCCTCCCACAGGTGGCTTGACATGAAGGCTTCAGAAAAGGTTAACATACCACAAATCAGCAGCGTCATGCAACTATCAGAGGCTCAGTATTACCCTCTGCACTGATACACTGTTTGTATGTGAACATGAACTCTGTTGCCCTTGTACAAATGTAAAGAATGTGTCCACATCTGCCTTTCAGACTTTAAAATTGGATATGCCCTTGGTAAGTGCATATTAAGCGGGATTAAATCTGTGAAAACACTGCTCTATGAAAAGTAAATTTCTTAATGGCCTGTTGACTTGGGCACCCAAATATGTAGAGATCGGTTTTGTAGTTCTTGGCTTGATGTCAGTAGGGTGATGATTCCCACTTCTCTGAAAGTGACTTTGATCAAAAGCAAGTCAAGCTGGAATCAGTTAGCCAAGAAATGTAGCGTTAAGAGGGAAGGCAGCAATAGCTTGGAGCTGAAGGGGGGATGGCTCTGATAATGTGCAGTGGGGTAGAACAAGAAGGAAAGGAGAACATCACTGAGAGGAGAATACGAAGCAGAGAAGTGACACAGAAAAAGGCAGATCTTACTCCTGCTTTTTGTGCTGTAACTTTTCCTCTTCAGTTGTACACAAGTCTTCGTGGAAAGTGAACAGCCCAGGTGTCAGTGGTAAGGGCACGTAGTTCTCATCCATTTCTAGCTTCCCCATGCATGGCCGCCTGAGAGCGTAGGAGCTACTACAGCAGTGACAAACACTGGGGTTTATAGGGTTGCTTAGGTGCCTTCTGCATATTTCTCCAAGAACAAGATCCAGCTTTATCACAAGGTTAAGAAAAAAAAACATATTATTGTTTCATTTTTCAGAAATTCTTGAAATGCTACTTTTACCAAAGCTATAAATAATAAATGATAATTTAATTTATATTTCGTAATAGAAATAACAGTTTATTTCTCTACTGAATGATGACTTCTTATGAGAGCCCTACAGAACTGGTCCTTTTAGGAGGGCAGTGTAGCCTCAGGCATCTAGAAGGGATTAATTTCTGAGACAAGAGATGATTAATTTCAAAGGGTCCGGGTCAGATCCCCAGCCCTGTGCAAGTGTTAACTGCCTAGTGCTAACCTATTTCCTTGTCCTCACATGGTGCAATTCCAGCTTTAACTTCAGTGAGGTTGACTCATGCTCAGTGACTCGTGCAAGGATATCTTCCAGCTCAGTGACTATGCTGCTCTTTTCCCAGCACTCAGGGTTGTTGGAGCCAGATGGCAGCAGGA